ATTTCTGTTATCTTGCTTGAGTGTATGTTTTGAGATTGTTTAATTACCAATAGGGTTGTTGATTTTGTTAACTTTTGATTCTCTGTTTCAGGAGTGTCTTTCTTTTGTTCCCTTGATTTTTGGTGTGGCCTGGGTGTCCTCAGGGGGAACATAGGAATGACCCCTCCTCGGGTGGGCGGCTAGACACCGTGGTGGAACCTCACTCCCGTTGCATGCAAGTAGGCACTGGGGCTCTTTTAGTGCATGTTTTGTTGTAGTGTTTGTAGTGTTGCCCCCACAGACGGGGTACTTTTCCAGTAGTCTGCCCCCACTGAGGCCCCAGCCCACTGATTTTTAGTTTATTAAACGTATTTTGTTAGAGTTTTAGTATTGTTATAATTGGCTTCTTTTAAATAGTTTTTGTTAATAAAATATATTTTCTTGTACTCACCTTGTTTGAAATCTCTTTTCAACAGTTTAAGTTTTCTTTTTTTGGTTTTCTTAACAGCCTTACAAATAAAAACATTTGTTATATTTACCTACTGCCTCATCAGTTTCCACCCTGTGTCTTTTATAGAATTTGGTTTTTATAGAATTTGGTTTTCATATCCCGGCCCGCAAGTCCCCAGGTGGCGTTGTCGGCCCCTAAGTTAGTTCCTTCCCTCAGTTATCTTTAGTTCCCCCCTTTATTTACATTTAAAAACCCCACTCCTTGCCACACAAGGAAGCACCAAACATGGGACATTGAAAGATAGAAAAAAGTTTTATTCTTTGATGAGAAAAAAATTAACCTGGACGGTCCTGATGGCTTCCAACATTACTGGCATGACAAGGAGATCCCACTGGAGATGTTTTCTAGGCAGCACAGTGGAGGAGGCTCCATCATGATCTAGGGTGCTTTTTCCTTCAATGGAACAATGGAGCTTCAGGTTGTGCAGGGACGTCAAACCGCAGCTGGCTATGTGGAGATGTTGCAGCGGGCATCCCTCTTGAGGGCCCTTGTCTGTGTGGTGATGACTGGGTCTTTCAACAGGACAACGCTGCAGTTCACAACACCCGCCTGACGAAGGACTTCTTCCAGGAGAATAACGTTGCTCTTGGACCATCATGCGTGTTCCCCTGATCTAAATCCCATTGAGAACGTTTGAATGGATGGGGCAAGGGAAGTTTACAAAAACGGACGTCAGTTCCAGACCGTGGATGCCCTTCGTGAAGCCATCTTCACCACATGGAGCAACGTTCCCACCATCCTCCTGGAAACACTTGCAATCAAGCATGCCTAAATTAATTTTTAAGTCATCAACAAGAAACTTTGGGCTACTCACTACTGACCCTTTTTGACATGTTTAGTTAGTTTTTAGTTTTTATTTCTTCTTTGTCTTATACTGTTGATAGCCTGATGAATCAACCTGTGAGTTTAAATGCAGTTTTCAATAAATTGCCTACTCAATATTATTTTGGCTTTGCTTCTGTTTCTTTCTTTTTGCAATTTTGAAGCTATGTACACCTTGGTTGCGAATACCTTGTCATTCTTCCCCCTGTCCTTAGATTTTGTTCAGCGAGTATTTGAAGGAACATAGGTCATAATAGAAGTTTTCTTTTTGACTGAATATTTATTTGACACATCAAAATTCACACAAAACATAAACAGAATTTCCATAATTTATTTACATCACACAAAATATATCATACTTTAAAAATAAAGATCTAAGTTACAACTTTGCAAGTTTAACGATATCATATACATATAACAACAGTGATTCACATCTATTACACTCATTATCAAACGGTTGAAGTAACTCACGCATCAAAAGATAATCTACGAGCACCAACTACACTTGTGAAACTTATGTCATCTACACACTTTTAAGAATCCTCCCAGATGAGGACTGTCCTTCAACTTCTGCCCGGTACACTCTGTGTTTTGGCTTTCTATTGTTCTCTCTGACACCAGTTTTGGTAGAGTATTTACCAACAAAAACAACTCTGAAATGTCACAATTAGACTTTGGACAAAGATAATTAAACAGAAATCATGTCTTCAAGTGATTATACCAGTCTCCACTAACTTACAAATAAATAGCAAAGAGTATTTGTTTATTTACTAAGCGTCCCTCTGGTTATATAAATCTTCCAATCTATATATTTCCATCTTTTCCAGGTCATCTGAGTTAATTGTCACCTGAGCCAATAGTGGGGCACAAAGTTGGCGATGACATCATTTTGCCATGTCACCTGACACCTGCGCAGCGATGTAACGGATTGCCTTTTGGAGTGGAAGAGACCCTGATCCTGAATCCTGAAATTGTCCATGTGTGCGTACTGTCGAACTGGAATATAACATTCGTCACAAAAAGAACATCACTGTTCGATAGAAATGAACTGAAGCATGGAAATGGTTCCTGAAACTCTCCAAATACAACTCCTGATGAGGGAACATATACAATGCTTCATTCTGAACTGAATTTTTTAACAGTTGTTAGCTTGTTGTTGGTAAGTAAGACATTTTATGTGTGTGAATTGTAAAGGTACGAGTGTTCTGCCACTGATGTTAGGAGCTAATTTTGTTCTCTTAAAATAACTCAGTGTTATGGAGCTGCATACTGCAAAAATATAATAATAATACACATCTAAATTTGCTTCATCAGGTGCTGTCTCCTCACCTGGCATCAGCTTAGCAGCCATCCATAAGGCCAACAGTGTGTGATATTAGATGTAGGTCTGAAAGGCTGGTATCCAGAACCTGAGGTGTCTGCTGGACGTTGAGGGAAAACTCCTCTCTGCTGGACCTACAGAGACAGTCTAGGTCCTGATGACCTTCCTCATACTGTCAGCAGCAGAGTGACTGTGGGAAAGAGACACAGCAACAACTTCACCTGTAGAAGTCCAACAGAAGGACATCAACAAGACAGAGAGACAGAGGTCCAAAATTTCAGGTAGGAATGTATTTTTTGAAATATGATGAATGATCACTTTAGCTTCCTAACAAAGTTCGTCATTATATATAAGTTTTCTTCTTGTTTTATTTAAGAGCTTTTCTTTGTGTCCTGTCCTCTTCTGATTCCAAAACAATTGTTTGGCTGTTAGTTTGTCTTTTTGTGGAATTGTTGGTATCTTTTATCTGCCTGTTTTGTGTGGAAAAGCAACAAAGAATATGCACACGTAAGTCAAACTTTGATTGCACTTCTCTATCCTAAAAATATTTTTTTTAACAATTTACTTATATATTATATTATTACATTTTTATTTTATTCTATAACTTAATATATATATTTTTTTTAAATTTTAAAAATTCTTTTTTGGTTGAAATACAAACACAGTACTCACATTCTAAACTCCTATTTTACCAGACACCAATGTGAAACGAAAGATAATGGCAGTTAAAGGTTAAGTTTCACAATGAAATGAAGGAGAGAGACAGCAGCCATCACAGCTAACACAGCACAAACAAAACTTCCAATCAGAAGAAAAGAAACTGACAACCAAGAGTAATAGAATTTGTGCAAAGGGGATGGATAGAGTAAGCCCACATTTAAAAGGGATCAAACAGAAGGGATATGACTCAGTTTCCCGCCTGCTAACCCAACCCTAAAAAAATTTTAAACCAGGGGGAATTTTTTTGTACCTTTCCAGACACCATTGCAATACTACTGTCATAATGTGGACTGCTGTGACTTGCATATGTTATGACTTATATTACTTATGATCAAAACTAGCAGTTTAATCTTTGCTACATCGAGCCAAGTGCAACAACACGACATAGAAACACAGCTAATATTACCTGAGTCCTAGCAGCAAAAAGCCAGCATGTATCTGACTTGCAGGATTATATTTTACAAGGCTCACACCAAGCTACAAAAATACAGCCCCATTTAGTTTCCAGCGGTGTTCGGTCACTTTTCTCCCTCCTTAGCTTTGTCCGTCACGCGCCCTTCCGATTATATATCTATAGAACTGCCGAGCACCCAGCTGGTTACATTGACTACTGCACCCGGCTCAAGGTTCTGGCACAATAGCACTCTCTTCGTCAGCATTGCTGCCCACTGACAAGAAAAAAAAATAACTGAAGGTTCAATGTGGGTTCTCCATCTTGGTTTCTTCACCTTCATCTTTCTATAATTTGGTTCCTCTTTACTTATCCCGGTTCCTCTTTACCTTAGTTTTTTCTCATTTATTGGGATATCTAGTAATCAACACTCCTCACATTTTCATAAGAATACACACAAATATTTGAAAGAAGATGTAGACAATTTTGTTAACCCCTTATTTGAGGGCTTTTGAATCTGTCTGGTTATCACTTTCTTCTCCACATTTTTATGTATCTCTCTCTTTCTCCCAGTGGGAAAATAAGCTTCAGGATGAGCAGAAAAAGAGAGACAAAACCGAGAAAGAAGTGAGTGAGAAACAAGAATAAGAAGGAGGTTCATCCTTTAATCTTTCTGTTTACACATCTCTTCCTCAAGCTGAGCTCATCGTAGGTCAAACTATATTTAAACTTATTGTCATTATGGCTGTTAAAATAGCAATCAGCCAACTACAACTTTAATTTGTTTTCAGTCAGCAGTTTAACAGTCCAGGTTTAGGACGTTTACAGTCACACTGTCCCTTTCTGCAATAAAAGACCGCTATTAAGCAACATGCATCTGTCTGTCTGTCTGTTAGCTGAAGAGCACCAAAGAGGCTTTTGAAAGAAACAATGATGAGCTGAAGAAAACTCAAATTGCACTGGAGCAAAGGGATGCTGACATCAGGAAGCTGAAGAAAGAAAAAGACGAAGTACCTACACACACACAATTTCTGCAACAACATGTTTTCAGTGTCTTATATTTGAATACTGGAGCTTCCTCTGCTTCATCTATGCTGAAAAACATTTACTTTATTTATACAGTGGCTTCAGAAAATGTCCTTGATTGGCCAGGTTTTCATATCAATTCAGCTCAAACATCATTGTAATTCACTTGTATGCTCTGAAAAAACGTCGTTTTTCTGTTCACCTCTCTCCTTCCTCCCAGTTGGAGAAGCAGCTTCAGGATAAGAAGCAGAGAAAGGGGGCTGCTAAGAACCTGCAGATCCCAGAGAAGATGCTGATGGACAAGAACAAAGAGGTAGACCATGTCATGTTTTGCCCTTTTTCCCTCTTTGTATCTTTTCAACATGGTATTTATGTGTTTTCAACAACCTACTGTGGGTTTTTTGTTTTGTTTCCCCCTTTAAATGTGTCTTATAGTTGCATTTCTTTATACTCACAGTTTCTGTATTATTTCATCTTTTTGCCCATACATCTTAAGTTAGACTATGTCTGCATTAAACGTTTTTAACAGTAAGCGGTATTTATCAATACCATGATATGGTGTAAACAATGACACAGCGACTAATGTAACCAATATCAGCTATGTTATGGGTTTGCAAACTGTCGCTGAATTTGCTGCTGGGCAGGTAATAGTGCGTTACCACAAAATGCAATCACTTACTGCATATGTACAGCACAGCCTTTTTCAGATTCATCCAAAAAATTGTATATTACCCAGAGCATCAAACTGTAACTGTATTTCATGTGTCCTTCCAGTTGGAGAAGAAGCCTGAGAAGGAGGAGGAGAAGGAGATGAGAGCCGGTCGCGAGGAGAGGAGGAGCGACAGCAGGTTGTTGTTGGGTGTTCCACTGACTCCGTCTCCCATGGGGTGCTGCTCACTCCCTACTTCAGGAGGTGTCTCTTCAGGGCTCAGGTGTCCCTTCAGGGCTGTCCCACCTCCTGTGTGCCCTGGTGCGGTGCAAGACTCCCCAGGCACTCTCCTCACTCTTTCTCTCTGTCTCTCAGTCCTTCACACGTGGAGGCTTGTCCTGCTAAACACTGTGTGAGTGTCATCCGGTCAGTGTAGCCTGTGTGCCCTCTTCTCTTCTTGTTTTCTTTCTTTTTTCTCCCCCCCCTCCCTCCTGTTCTTCTCACTTGTTCCCTCTGTTTACCTCCTCCGGTAGTGAACAGAGCTCACTTGCAATTCAAATGGGCTCATGTGTGATTGTGTGTGTTTGTGTATCTGTATGTGCAATCTGAGAGTGAGGGAGCGAGTGGGTGAGTGTGAGGGGGCTGGCGGTGAGGTCGCTGAATGGGGGTGGTGATGAGAAGAGAGAGAGAGAGAGAGGGAGAGAGAGGGGGAGAGAGAGAAAGAGAGAGAGAGAGAGTGTTGTTAAGACCAGCGTTAGGGAAAGTGGGGGTGATGTAAAAGTTAAATACATTAACCATTCTCTGGCTGGTGTGATAACATCTGTATTAGGAGAGCTGCAGACTGCATGTTAGAGGTTACTGTCTTTGTGCTCTTATCGCTACTTCAATCAGGTGCTCAACTGCCTCTAAATGAACATGTTTAAATTGAAGAATGGCCTATCAGACACTTAATGGATTTATGCAAATATTTAGTGCGCTGCCCTTAAAACAAATTAAAACCTGTACCATGTTAAATAAAAAGAGAAAATCTGGTCTTTTGACCTGTTTCTGGCAGCGCTGATGAAACAGCTGTACAATTTGTTTGTGCAGCAAATTATTTTAATTTTCAAGCTTGTTTTTTTTTACAAACAAATTAACAGAATGAGAAAACAGTTTTTTTAAAGATACACATTTAAAAAAAAAAACTTAAATAGGATGCTGTATGTACATTAGCCAAAAAAGTAGTTTTGAATGTGATTTTTACTATGAGGGTGAGTGTGAATTATTTACCAAAGTAAATAAATAATAATAATAATAATAACAACAACAATAATAATAATAACTTTTACCTGTATTAAACTTTTTAGTTACCGGACAAGTTAGAC